ACACTGTTTCTAGCCACACAGGTTGCCTGCTGCTTTAAGAAAGACTTCTGGTTTTAACTGTTTTTGTTATTGTTGTAAAGATAACGGGATGAATCCTTTCCCATGAGAAAGAAAATCCTGACATTTTCATCATCCTAACTGGTCATTGTATGTGAGTGATTGTGGGAAGGGTGGTGGTGGAAGAAGAGTGTGCTTTATCTGAGAACAGGCTATGCAGCACAGATGTAGGAACTCTGGAAAGGAAGCATTTCAAAGAGACTCCGCCTTAATTGACTCACTATAAGTCTGAGAATTTACTCTTACAATTTTCAAGATTATGTTTTCATACCTTACTAGCATTAAAGAGGCCTTTCTGCAATCAGTGTGGTTCTTGCTTCTTGGTTTTGTCAACTATGTGGGGCCATTTTTATAAATGAAAAACTGATCTCCCACTGGCTTACTCCTCTCTTCTTTCACTGTGCCCATTCCTTTGTTTAATCATGGTTTTTAGTTTGCAAATCTGAAGGCAAAAATTATCTACCTATAACATTTCTGACTTGTGTCAGTTATAGATGTCTTGAATGAATGAATGAATGAATGAATGGACGGATGGATGGATGGTAGCCAACAAATGGTCTTTTTGAGATAACTGGTGGTGGGGCTGCATTGCAGAGAGCTCTGGACAAAATGAATTACTTGGACCTGCTTCCGTCTGGTTCTAGTCAAGGATATGGTACTCATATGACATTGATTGCACTAACAGATGACTTCTGGTGAGACTAGGATAGGAGGAATGCAACTCTAATGGTGTTAGTTGATCATGTTATTCTTTTAGAGCTTATCCAAGAATTGAGAGTGGGAAGCACTGTTTTCCAGTAGTTCTGGCCCTTCTTAAAGAAGCAGTCCAGTCTGTGATAGTAAGATGGGGGAAACTAAGCCTTCACTCCTTACTTGTAGGTTGCTGCAAGGTTTTGAGTTTGAAAGCCATTTAGTTCCAGCAAGATACCATCTTTAGTTCTGGATGGAGTCACATTTTCTTAAATGGAAATATTTTCCAACTTGGAGATGTTCCTGAATTAACAGCCCCTGCTACATGAGCAAGTGGGCAGCTATGGCCAGGAGGGCCTTCACACAGTTCCATTTATGCACCAATTACAACCTCTCTTGGAATGAGAGGCTCTCCTTATGACAACTCATGGCTTAGTCAACTCGTTTCAACTACTGCAACATACCCTGAAACATTCAGAAGCTTCAGCCAGTCCTGAATGCAGCAACTTGAGTAATTATGAGTGTACCTTACATTGCTCATAGAATACTACTACTGGCGTCTAGATGCAATTCACAGTGCTAGTTGTCAAGTTTAAAGTCCTTTATGGCTCATGACCTAGGTGTTTATGAGACTGCCTACTCCCAATAGGATCTGCCAATCCAATAACAGCTGGGACAGCAGGCTCCCTTCATAGCCCTTTATCAACAGGAATCATAGAAATGAGCGTTCTCAACTGCTGCCTTCTTTCGGTAGAAGAGCATTCTCATGGAAATCCAAACTGCTCCTACTCTGCTGATTTTCAGGAAAGCCATTCAAACTTGGTTATTTCAACAGGCTTTGGGGATTGGGATGCTGGAACATTTTACAGCCTTATGTAGCTAGCAAACCTAAGAAGCAAAAATTACATGGATTTCAGAAAAGCATGTTTAATGCCACTCTGAGTAAAAATATAATCTTGAAAACTGTAAGAATAAATTCCAGTCAGGCTCTTCCTAGTCTCTTTGAAACACTTTCTCCTCATGCCTTGCACATCTGGGCTGTGTTGGCTTTTCTTATGTAAACTACACTCCTCCTCTGCTTTGATCTCACATTCTCTTATGCTCTGGCACTAGAATGTTTCTTTTTTGGTAATGTAATTGATGATGTTTATATAGTGTCTGTGGTGTGTGTATATACGTACGTACATACATACATACATATGTATATATGTATTCTATTACTGTGTTGCTTTTTAACCTGGTATGTATCTACCCCAGAGTGGCCAGGGAGTGGAGTGGCCTATAAGCCTAGTAATTAAATAAAACAAATATATAAATAATTTATAATAAATATGTCTGTGAACATCTGTCCCTTGTTTTGCAAAATATCCCAGAAACAGTTTGTGGGCAAATAAAATGTTAAAAAATTATGAACAAATGCACTGAAAATCCTCAAAAACCTTCCCACTTGCCATCAAAGCAAACCTTTCTCTCTGAAACTCCTGATACTAATTTTGACAAAAACAAAACAAATTACAGCTCTTCATTTCACCTGGGCTCTTAAGGTTACAAGGAGAAAGTATGGTTTTGGTTTTTATTTTTTACCTTTGCAAGTCCATTTATCTTGAGTCGAGCTAGTTTGATGTTGGTGTCAACTACAAAGTCACCATGATAATATTTGTGTCCTTTCGGATCCTTCAGGATTATTTGTGGTGGTGAATTGTTTTCACTCCATGTAACTACAAAGAAAGTGTTCATTCCCACAGTATAATCAATGGACACAATACCCTCAAGAGATCTGTAGCCATCAATGTGTTCACTTTCACTTTCAAGCTGTTAGAAGAAGAAAAAGACAAGGATTACAATAAAGCAGAAAAATATTAAAAGAATGTATTAAAAGAAAATATCAAATTTCCCATAAATCTGATATCACTTCATAAAAAGCTTATATTCTGTGGCTTCATCTACTGTTAAGATAAGACAGATTCCCAATGAAAACTAAAATGAGGGAGCTATATGACTTCTTCAAATGACTGTCTAATAAAGAAAAGCCACTTTTTATTAAACAATTTCAAAATAATAAATTGCCATCATGATAAATCATGACACAAAGATTCCCATGCTTGGTTTCTTAGTTTCACTTATGCCTGCTCTTTATTTCATGACATTACTAATATGGTACAGCAAATTAAAGCTTAAATGGTATCATGTTAAATAATTTTTTACTTCATACTGCACACCCCACTGGCTTCCAACTTTCTAAAATCCAAACCTGAATTGTCTGTTGAGTGATGTCTCTGCTTCTTGATGAAATCCCAGTGAAAGCATCTATGAGATCATTGGAATTCAAGCTATCGCTGCAGGTAAACTTGAAGCCTCCTACAGTACAATTAGAATAATTGAGATAATTTGCAGGTGCAATAAAAACTACTATTGTGCATTGCATTCACTTCAGTAATAAATGAAGGAGAATGTAATTACAACAGTCTGTGAGAATGAGACAAGAACCAGACTAGTTTCCGGTTTGTCCCGTCCTTATTCCCCCCTTCATGTTTAAGGCAAACATCTGTCAAGGCGAGCCTTTTCTATCCAAGGAGACATCCTTCATGATATAAAACCCTGAAAGTGTTGAGGAAAACAGAGCTTACATGTCCATTTTCCCTCTACCTCTTCAAGTTGTTATAGCAAAGGTTTAGAATATTTTAAGTGTCCCATATTTGAGGACCACGTTTTTTGAGGCTCCAGCCATTACAGAAACCCTCTGGTAAAATACTTCTGGCAGGATATTTATATATATGGAAAAAGAGCTTCCAATCTCATGAACCAGCACCTCTTTGCTGTTCATTAACTCAACTTGTCGTTTTTCAGGCTGTCAGGCAAGCTTAGATAAAATTGTTGCTGCTTTAAGCAATCTACTCATCAAAGTTAATGTGAGTCTTAAAGTTGTGGCACTTCTTTTTTGAATGCCATTTTATTTTTTAAAGACAAGAAGAATGTTTCAAACAAAGATACGCTTTAATTTTCCAGCATTTCACAATAGGAATCTGACAGCAAAGTATAGGAAATTAATGTTGCATCAATTCCTAAGACTGGAAAAATGGACTGTAAAGCAAGAGCAGCATTGATGACAAAAGATTCCCAAGTTCTTCAAACACATTTGTACAAAAAGAAAAACTAACTGGGCAAGATGATAATATGTATCAATTTGCTTACAATCCTTTCAACACAGTTTAATAATATGACAATGTATCTATATACTACTAAAACTAGTGTTTGTACCCTTCAACCGGCCAAAATGATGTGTCATAGGGCAATAATTTTTGAACCAAGGTAGCTCATATGGGCTAACTTACAGAATGCATCCAAAATCCAGGACCCATTACTTCCGCAGGATTGAAATTTGGGAAATTTGTGGCTGCTTCAGCACTGCTGTGCTGCTGTGCCGCCATGGTCAGCCCAGGTCACATTATCATCATGGGTGTACCCCAACCTCTTTTCCACCTCCGTCTGTCCCCTGCGCCCAATTGGCTGGCGGCAAGGCCCGATGGGTGAACGGCAATTGGCTGCTTTGGAAATGAGGCAGAAATCTGAAATCTCTTAACAGCTGTGGGTATTGAGGGAAGGATAAGGGAGCAACTTGGATGCCTGCTGGCAAGATAGGGCTGGCTGGGAGGTGCCAGCAGTCAACAGGTGAGCAATCTTCCTCCCTCGAGGGAGGGGACCCTTGGGAACACTCTGGAATGAGGAGCAGGGCTGAGGTTTTCCTCATGGTCTGCAGCTTCTTTTGTTCCACCTGCCCCCAGCAAAGTGGCAGGCAGTTACTCAGATCGGTTGATGAGGTGGAGGCGGCTTCAAGGGGACTCTCCTGAGGGTCATGAAGGGAGGGTAGATACTGCAAGCCTATATTATATGTGGAAAGGAAGGGAGGGAGGAAGGAAGGAAGGAAGGAAGGAAGGAAGGAAGGAA